GAAACAACAAGGGAAGAGAATAAGACATCTCACCCCCAGCCGACCGATAACTTGCCCCCCCCCCCGCCCGACCATGCTCTGACCGATGCCTCCTCCAACCCTGCCGTCTCCCAGCCCTTCCGGCTAACTCCCCCCCAGGCATGACGTGCTGTGGTATGGAATACCTCTTTGGCTAGCTTGGGTCAGGTGTCCTGTCTCTGCTTCCTCCCGACTTCGCCTCCTCCCTGGCAGAGCATGAGGCTCACAAAGTCCTTGGCCATACCAAAACATCCTTGTTATCAGCTCTGTTCCCAGGCCGAAAGTCAAAACACTGCACTACACCAGCTACCAAGAAGGGGAAAAATGACTGCTACTGCTGAACCCAGGACATTATCCACCCCTTATTCCATACCATTCACGTCATGCTCAGATCCCACATTTTCAATATACCATCACTCTTATCTAAGTGCATGGACCAGTAGCTATAAAGCTGCTGCGTCCATCTGGTCCATGATGTCAGGCTCCATCTCTTGTAACAGTCTTCCAGAGCCGGAGAGACTGTGTGCAGTGTTCACACTCGTGAATAACTTGGGCAATAGTGTCCATTGCTAGGTCCACCCCTTGATCATGAGTCCATCTCTATGTTGCATCTCTGCTCTGATGGCCTGAAGTGCCATGGGCCCACCAGGCTTAAAATAATTCACTGTCCCCTTAAGCAGTTTCTGCAGCTTGTTGCCGGGGACTCCATACAGCTGCCTTCCATTTCTGATGCTTCCAAAGCACTGGAGGGGCCCAGTGGACTAGATACTTGCCCATACTGTCACACACACCGTGCCACTCCTGGCTGTGCAGCCTTGGGGAAAACCTCTTGGTCCCCCTGTATTGTCGTCTAACCCCAGACAAGACCCAAACCCGACTCTGCTTAACTTTTGAGATCAGACAGAATGGTTGTGGGTAAAACACAGTCTGTGTGTGTGCCAACATGCTGATCCCCATCACAATCAGCAGGCAGGTCCCAAGGATACCCAAAGGCCATTCAAAACCTTCAGAACTCTCAGTTGATGCTGCTGTGCTTGTCACTGGGGCTGGTGTAGCTGCTGTGCTTGTCACTGGGGCTGGTGTAGCTGCTGTACTTGTCACTGGGGCTGGTGTAGCTGCTGTGCTTGTCACTGGGGCTGGTGTAGCTGCTGTACTTGTCACTGGGGCTGGTGTAGCTGCTGTACTTGTCACTGGGGCTGGTGTAGCCGCTGTGCTTGCCGGCTCTCCCACCGCCAGCTTCTCTTTTCCTGAGTCCAGCGCCTCCTCCTCTGCCTTGCTGGGAAATGCTGCGTGGTCTCCTGCATCCTCCTGGGGCTCGGCGGGCGGCTTCCGGGAAACGCTCTCGGCCGTCGCGGGGCTGGGCTCGGCCGCGGGGCTCGGCTCCTCCGCGGGGCTCGGCTCGGCCGCGGGGCTCGGCTCCTCCGCCGCCTTCTCCCGCTGCTCGGCAGCCCCTTCCTTCTGCTCCTCGACCGCCCCGACCTCCTCCACCGGCAGCCGTCCCCTCGCGGCCTCCGGCCCCGCTCCCGCCGCCGCTTGGTCCCCGGGGCCGCTCTCCCGGGCCGGTTCGGCTGCCGCCGGCTCCCGGGGCCGCTCCCCCTCGGCTCCCCGCAGCCTCACGAAGATGGAGAGTAGGGTGAGGGCCAGGACGGTGAAGAGCAGCCGGACGGCCAGGTACAAGTCCAAGGCCACGTCCGTCCCGCCCTGCTGCTGGAGCCCGCCCGTATTACAAGCCATTGCCATAAAGCACAGTGAGACAAGAACCTTAGCCCAGGCCCCACACTTGATAAACACTATCACAGCAAATACCGGCTCTACGTAAGTTACAACATTCTGAAGCTGTGAGATCAAGAGGAACAACTCTGAGAGCCAATAAATCAGCATTGTGACGAATGACTATTAATCTGGTCAGATCTGTTGTTATCTCAACCCTTCGTGCCCCACGTTGGGCGCCAAAAAGAACTGTCGTGGTTTAAACCCAGTCAGGTAATTCGTTCGCTCACTTCCCCCCCTTTCTTGCCCTCCCCCTGCTCTTGGAGGGACGGAGAGGAGAATCGAAAAGAATGCAACTCCCACGGGTTGAGATAAGAACAGTTTAGTAACTAAGGTATAACACAAATCACTACTGCTACCACCAATGATAATAATGATAAAGGAAATAACAAGGGAAGAGAATACATCATCTCACCACCAGCCGACCGATAACTCGCCCCCCCCAGCCCGACCAAGCTCTGACCGATACCTCCTCCAACCCTGCAGTCTCCCAGCCCTTCCGGCTAACTCCCAGTTACCTCCTGGGCATGACATGCTGTGGTATGGAATACCTCTTTGGTCAGTTTGGGTCAGGTGTCCTGTCTCTGCTTCCTCCTGGCTTCCCCTCCCCCCTGGCAGAGCATGAGGCTCACAAAGTCCTTGGCCAAACCAAAACATCCTTGTTATCAGCTCTGTTCCCGAGCTGAAAGTCAAAACACTGCACTACACCAGCTACCAAGAAGGGGAAAAATGACTGCTACTGCTGAACCCAGGACACTTATCTACAACCCTGTTCTTCAATCAACCCCATTCTTCAATCCACCCTATTTCTTCAGTCACCCTGATTCTTCACCGAGTAGGGCTGAAAAAATGGATTTCTCAGTAGAAATCAGGCTCCAGCATTCTTTTATAACAGCTTAGTTAAGACCGAGGCAATTATTAGAAATGTCAACGCTGTTATTTTTATGACATTTTTCAATTTCTTCCATTTAGCCATCTCCAAGAGACAAGCTGCTTTCTCTGTAATGACAGTATTCATCTCTGAGTATCTGTAGAGGTAAACGATGAGCAGCTTCCTTGCTGACTGTTCCATTGCATGTGTCTTCGAAGACAACTTTACATGGTGGCTTTTGTCACGTAACACTGACCGGGTGATTCTCGTGTCCTACAATCCCAAGTTTCTTTATTCTCTTTCTAGTTGGATTTCAAAAGAACCAGGCCCTCGCTGGGCAGCTCCCAAGGGCAGCCCCCAGCTTTGGTGGCAGGACCCAGTTAAGGCCATCGCTCGTCAGCAGCACCACGAAGGTGACTATCTGCAGCAACAAGAGGAACACACAAAGCCTCCTGTGGGATAGAAGAGGGGTCAGGCAGAGCAGAAGCCAAATTTGTCTCAGCTGTTTCCAAGCACCCTCTTTGAACACCACAGTGGGACCTTGTACTATGCTGGGCACAACAGGCTACACGCAGGACTGGGATGAGGGGGTCTGAGCATCTGTTTCAACTCCGCTGTTGGTGTTGCCAGTGTGTCCCAGAATCTCCCCCTACATGCCCCCCAAGTTAGGAAGAACAGAAAGACTGAAACACTTGATCCCGGACAAGTCCAAAGCTGCCTAATGCTCTTGGACCTCTGGCATGGACATCCCACCACCTATGGAAGAGCCCTGGACCCCAGGGCAACTCACTGCAGCCAAGAAATGGTCTTATTCCTCCTTGTCCATGAAGCTGCTGGCTCTTGGAAACCTTCACATTTCTGCCGGAGGAGCTTGAGCCTGTTCCTGAGCAGCTGGAAAAGCAAAGGGCCCAGTCAGGAGTCCATGCCATGCCTGCTTGGGTGTGGCTTCCCCCCACAGTAATGTTGAGCCCTTGTCCCTCCTGTCCCCAGTACCTTCTTGACCTCAGCCTGCTCCAGAACAGCTCCTGCCAGCTCTGACCACTGCCGCCTCTGGAAAACAAGTGGGATGCTTCACAGGGAGCCTCAAAGGGCATCAAAGTGTCCAGGGCCTGGCAGGTCAGGGCAGGGCCAGGGTGCTGGCACACAGGTGTCTTGGTGCTGGCACCATTGCCCAGCAGCTTGGCCACCCCCGAGGGGTTTCTGGATGCGGTCACAGACTGGGCCAGCGCCAGAAGCGTGCCCGTTCCACACGCCATCCCCAGGAGCACAAGTGAGGGTCACTCATCCCACCCCCTTCCCTAAAGCCATGGTGCTGTGCCTGCAGACTGTGAGACTGAACTGAAATCAGACTCCACCGTCCATTGCCTCAAAGATTGGTATGAGAAGCTGAGATGGGATTCCACCTTCCACTGCCCGAGAGATGAGTGAGAGGAGCTGAGGTAAGACCCCACGATCCATTATCTCAAGGACTGGTGTGAGGAACTGCTGCCCATTATCTCAAGGGTTGCTGGCAGACGTGCAGTTGAAGAGCTGGCTGCTGTGATCCACCAGTAATGTGCAGTATGTGACATTAAGAACAGAGGTACTCCCCCCCAAACACATAATGAAAGGGGAAAAAGGTCATTGCCGTTGGGGGCACCCTCCACTGATGCCGATTGCAGACCCTGGGGGACACCCACCACTGAAGACAACAGCTACGGACCTTCAGGATGCCACTGGGTCCACGGTAGTGTCTGTTGTCTCTCTGCGCATTGAATGCTTGCTTGATTTCTGTTGTTTTTTGTTTTCCCCAATCTGTCCTGTTGCTATCTTTTTTTACTAAGATCTTCTTTTTTATAATAATTGTCTTTTCATAATAAACAGTTACAGTACCTGACCTCACTTTTGTTTTTATTTCCCTCTGGGGATCACAAGCAAAATAAGTCCAACACTGGGTTTTCTCCAGTCAGACCTTGACAGAGATCCACATCAGGCTCCCCTCTACAGCACAGCCAATAGCCTGGGGCATCTCCAGAGGCCCAACCTCTCCTTTGCAGACCCCAGAATAGATGTCCCCCCCAGCTATGCTGCTGCTTATGGCTGCTGGGCTGCACAGACCTATCACTGGCATCCCCCTCCCTGACCCTGTCAAGATGGGCCTCCTTCTCCCCTGTACCTTCTGCTCCTCTTCCAGGCTTGTGGCTACCTCCCTGTTTATCATCTGCAGGCACTCCTGTGGGAGAGGAGGGGAAGAGTTGCAACTCTCAGGGCACTGGGACACTTCCTTGAGCGCACTCCCCTTGGCATTATTCCCTCCCAGCTCCCCTTGGGCACTGCCTTTGTCCTCGCATCTGTTCTACCCAACCCTATAGGCACTGGGGGCAGACAGAGAGACTCCCCAGGCCCAAATCTGGACCCAGTCCATTTCTGGACATGGTCCTGAGCAAATGACTCTGGGTCATATTCTTGAGCAGGGGCATTGGACAAGACCAGATGACCTCCAGACACCCTTTCTAACCTCAACTACTCTTGTGAACCCACCTTCATCCTGGCCATGTGCCCCTCCAGCTGCTGGAGCCCTCGGCAGTTGGTTTGGAAGCACCGTACCACCTCACAGTTCTGGGAAGAGGTGCCGGACACAGGCACTGAGGCCCTGACACAGCCCCAGCACCACAGCAGGGGGACACGGGCAAAGTAGGGAACACTAACCTCCATGCTGAGCTGCTCCACGATTTCCCGCAGATACTGCTGCTTCTTCTCCTGCATGGGGAGAGGAAGGGTCAGAGGCTCAGATCTCGCAGCCCCAGCCCTGGGGACAAGGGGACCACTCCACACCTACCACAAATCCCAGCAGCTTCTTGTGCCTTTGTGCCTCTGCAGAACACTGTGCCAGGCGCTCCTGCAGCACACAGAGATCTTCCTGCACCTCTTCTGCCTGCATGGCTGCACCCCTGTGTTGGGAACTAAGAGGGTTTGAGGGGCACGGCCAGGGGAATGTCAGTCACAGATCCTCTTCTCCTGCGCTTGCGCCCTTCCACTGCAGGGAGGGCACAGAACAGGTTATTGGCAATTGCTCTCTGAGCTCCTGCCCAGCAGCACCGAGGTTCTTCTCCAGATACTGCCCCACCTCCAGCAGCAGCCCAGCTTTGTACCCATGTCACAGGCCCATAGTGACATCACCTCCCTGGGGCCGGTTCCAGGAGTTGAGGTGGGGCCCAGCCATAGCCACCAGGGAAATGGGGCGTCACTGCTGGTGTACGAACAGGAGCAATGGTACCGTCTGTCAGAGTCTCCCTGTGGGGTTTGCCTGTTCCTTGGGAGCAATTGAGAGTCTGGGGTGGGAGCAACTGCCATAGCTCCCACCCTAGGACCGAACAGAAGCCGGGCTGCACATGCCCTCCCAGCAGACGCTCACACACATGTGCATGCACACATGTGCACAGATGGTCACAGTGTGGGCGCCGCAGCACTGGGCTGCAGTATCCAGCCCCGCATTTGAATCTAGCATCTGGCCAGGGGAAAGCGACCGCCTGGGAAGGGGAGAAATAAAGACTGGCCTCTGTTCTAACCTGGGCAGACACTTGTGCTGCAGGCTCCCCAAAGGAATGGGATCTCTCAGTTGCTCCGAGAGCAGCGGGGCAAGCAGCAGGGGTCCCCAGGAGGAAGGGGTGGGGGCATGCTGGCACGGCAGGGGATGGCACAGGCTCTCTCCTTGTGCTTCTACAACCTCCGTCACCATAGGTTCTGGTGTCCCTGTTTCCTTCTTCCTTTGCTGTTGGCTGCAGGCAACAGGCCTCGATTGGACAAGTTACAAACCTCCTGGCCACATGGGGTGCTCCTCTTCCAAACATACACACACCACCCCCCCTTACCCCCCCAGGTATAGACTGGGATCCCCTGTCACACTGCTTGCTGCACATCCCCTCCCCCCCGCATTGCCTCATTCCTCGGGGTGTTGCAGAGGCCTCCTCCCCTGCCCTGGACACCCATGTGGGGCGAAGTGCCCAACTCACCAGGGCTCTTGCAGCTCCACTGCTTCCTCAAGGGTTTGTTGATGCAGAACCGTGCCCAAGCACTGGGAGCCTGGGAAGTTTGCAAGGCCAGGCCCTTTCTCTTGGGGGGTGCGTTCTCCTCTCCAGTTACCCTTGTGCCCATAGCTGCTGGGCAACCATCCAATGCCCTGTCACAACATACAGCCTCTCCTCACACATGAGTGACAGGAGCTGAGGTATGACCCCACGATCCATTATCTCAAGCACTGGTGTGAGGAACTGCTGCCCATTATCTCCAGCTCTGCACCAAAGCAGAGCTAGCCAAAATAAGTAGCATGGACACTTCAGTACTGGCCATTCCAGCTTTTCAGAGGAAAGCTCATCTCTCTGCCACATAAGCAGCATTCATGTAAGTCAAGGTTACTTAAAAAAAAAAGTCTAAGTGAGAAATAAAATTTCTGCATTTCACATGCAGAGCAACTGAAACTGTCCTTGTGAAATCCTTTCTGCTTTGGGACGAGTAGGTGCTATTGGAGCAATCTCCATATTCACAAATGAGATGCAGTGACCTTTTGGGTCCCAGATATCAGAATCCAACTCCCAGTCTGTAGCATGAACTTCTTGCTGCCCAGACAGAGGAGATGCTGCCATGTCAAGTGAGGTATTTGACTTGTACAACTGTTGGCCAGTGCACAACAGGCCAACCTGAAGATCACATCCTGCTTCTTAGACTCTATAAGACTTCGGCAATGGCCTCTGGGAATACCTGCAACTGTATGGGAATGGTCTCATTACAGCTGTTGTAGGATTGAACTTGGCTTGGTGTGACTCCAGGCAGCTTACTGGCGTTCTGAGATCTGCTCTGATACCAGGAACACTTGCAGCCAGCAACCCATGGTCACATGCCCTTTGCAGAGCTTCTGCTTCAGGCACTCACTGCCAGGGCTTCCCAGGGAGCACTTGGGTTAGGGTTAGGTTAGCGGCTAGGGCTAGGGCTAGGGGTTAGGGGTTAGTGGTTAGGGTTACAGTTAGGGTCAGAGTTAGTTAGGGTCAGGGGGTAGGATTAGCACTTGCTAATTCCCCAGCCTGAAAGAGAATGCACAGCTAAGAGGTCGGTTTCTTGCACAGACTGTGCTATGTCCATACTCACGGTGAAATGGCCTTGGGCCACCTTCCTGGGCCACAGCACATCCCTGCAAACACCTCACAGGGGTAAGAATCCCTTTTATTCAGGGGAAGCTGTACCTGTATCTGTACATGACATTCCTCCAGCTCCAGAACTCAAGAAACATGCAGACAGATTTCTATGCCTGTGACAGAGAAACTAATGTTTCCATGCATAATCTCACCTTCTGCCTGCAGTCCAAATGCTTATGTTGGGAGTCAGGGAAATTATACAAAAAGTTCATGTACTCGGGAGAGCTGCCCTGTGAAACATAGAAAGGAATATATATCTGGGTTACTGAAACCAAAGCAGGAATGGTCCCATCATACTGTCCTCCTCCTGGGCACAACATGGAGCTGTGTAATAGCTGTAACTGCCAAAAGTATTTCCAGCTCTCTGCCTAGTGTGCCAGGTTTATTCTAGGAGCAGGTACCAAAAGACCTGGGAGTGGAGGATAAACTCTGCATGTCAGTATCAGGAGAGCAAGCATCTTGGCCTGTCCAGATGATTGGTTTGGGGCTCAAACCCACTGGCAGAATTTAATCAGCAGAACAGAACTCCATTCTCCCACAGAGGAGGAAGCTGGGGACAGATGCCATCCTCTCCTCTCCCTTATACCTCACCTACAGCATCATCAGTCCAAGGCAGCATCTGAACATGGGCTGTGGGGCAAGGGCCAGAATGGGGGAGCAGGGAACACCTTACCCCCAACCTACGCTACCTGTCCTACAGGCCAACAGTGTCCAGGGGAACCTGCTGAGAAGCATGTGGGTCACAGAGCTGAAAATGGGTCTCTGTGTCTCCAGTGAGCCAACAGGCCCATCAGCCAAACTAACAGGCTAAGCAGTGTTTCTCCAGTCTCTCACATCTTTCCCTGTGTTGCCTCATGCTCCAGCATCTCATAATGACACAGGATGATGGAGCACGAGGACTTCAAGAGCCTGGCTGTGTACTGGAACTCCTCTGACATTTACCAGTTCAGCACTGCCAGGGTCATTGTCCCTGTGGTCTTCTTTCTCATCTTGCTCCTGGGCACAGTGGGCAATAGCCTAGTGCTGGCAGTGCTGCTGTGCAATGGGCAAATGGGCCACAACACTACCAACCTCTTCATCTTCAACCTCAGCCTGGCTGACTTCTTCATTGTCTTCTGCATGCCTTTCCAGGCCACCGTCTACTTCCTTCAGGGCTGTGCCTTTGGCTCCTTCATTTGTAAGGCTGTCCACTTCTTCATCTACCTCACCATGTATGCTAGCAGCTTTACCCTGACTGCCATCTCTGTGGACAGTTAAAGATGCCCTTGGGCTGGGGAAGGAGGGCAGTCTGAGAAGCTGGATTGAGTGAGGGCATGGGAATATTGTGGCTCTCTACTACTAGGAAGATGGTTCAAACCCCACTGGTACTGATCATTGCCAAAGGCAGTCTGAGGACCTGGTGTGACCCCCTTCCCCTACCAACCCCCAAGCAGCACTTCCAGATCTCTGGAGTACAAGGCTGGTTCTGCTCCTGTCTGGCTTTCTGCTGGAGAGACCTGCCTTGTGGTTAAAGCCCTGGAGACACAAGATCAGCTCCCCACTGTGCCACAAACTCCCACTGGGTGTCACCTAGCTCTGTATAAGAGATGCCACTCAGAGGGAAATAGCCACCATTTCAGAAAAGCATGATGTGCAGGCAGGAAAGTAATCATAAGACGCCAACATAAGAAGGATGTGGAGCTGTTGGAGCGAGTCCAGAGAAGGCCATGGAGATGCTGTGAGGGCTGGAGTAGCTCTGCTCTGGAGAGAGGCTGAGAGAGCTGGGCTTGTTCAGCCTGGAGAATAGAAGGCTCCGGGGAGACCTTAGAGAAGCTTCCAGTGCTTAAAGAGGCTACAAGAAACCTGGAGAGGGGCTTTGGACAAGTAGGGACAGGAAAAGGAAGAAAGGCTTTAACCTGACAGAGGGAAGACTGAGATGAGCTCTTAGGCAGGGTGCCCAGAAAAGCTGTGGCTGCCTCATCCCTGGCAGCGTTCAAGGCCAGGTTGGATGGGGCTTGGAGCAACCTGGTCTAGTGGAAGGTGTCCCTGCCCGTGGCAGGGGGTTGGAACTGGATGAGCTTCAAACCCAAACCATTCTGTGACTCTAAACAGAAAGGACTGTAAGAGAAGCCACATAAATACCCAGAGATCCATAAACACCCATAAATACTGGAGGTCTCAGTCCTGCAATAAACACATCTCTCATTCCTCTGGGGGTTCCAGCCCAGCACAAACCCTACTCATCTTGCAATTCCTCTTCCCCCTTTGCCCCCAGCCCTCCTGCGGTCTGTACAGAAAGGCACCCATACCATGAGCCAAGTCCTTCCTGGGAGGTTACCCAGGATGCTCTGGCACTGATCAGTGCCACCTATATTGTTAACAGGAGCTCTTTAAGGTGACTGTGTCAGCTGCCCCACTTCTGACTAAGCCTGTGTTTATGGTCCAGGATGAGGTAAAGGTCCTCATTAGGTAAGCTCCAGCCTGGACTGCTACAGGGAACACGTCCTAGCCCATCTTGCTCCTTGTGCTTGCTTCCAAGCTACCAAGACAAGATAGGGTAAACAGCCCTCTTCAATGAGGAGGTTCACAGCACTGCAGGCAGAAGGAAATTTCAGTACCAGGGAATATGTGTGACTGGTTAAATCCCAGCAAAAAGTGTGGTTGGGCTACTCTTCCAATCCCCTTCAAGATCGTCCTGCTTCCAGGTGCCACCTACAGAAACTCAGTGATCTGACACTTCAGCAACTCATGCACCTGGAAATGCCAGTATCCCCTGTCTGGGGTCACATGGCATCTCCGACTAAAATATCCCAATCATCTGGCATTTCAGTGGCTACACAGTTTGCCTGCTATCACCAGGAAAACCAGAGATTTCTCATGGTCTAAGCCTCATGCTTTCCTGTAACCTAAATGACATGGGTGCAGTCTGCCCCTCCAGCCAGCTCAGAATCAGGGACAGTATCTCTCTCTCAAAAAGAAAGAACATTTTGGCACAGTGCTAGTGCCTGCGTTCTCTCCCTTTCTGGAGGCACTTCTGTGCTGTGCTGTGCTGTGTTGTGCTTGCAGAGCTGCCAGCAGCTTTCAGGATGACAGGACCAGCAAGAAAGAAGGGTTCTGTCACACATGACCCTTCACACTAGCTACGTGTCTTATCTACATGCTCTGCCGACCTCACAGTGCATCAAATGAGCACTCTGGCAGGCTGAGGCTGAGGCAGTTGCACTCCTGTCTGTGCTGATGGCTCCTCTCCATCTCGTACTCACAAGCACCAAGCCATCTTTTCTCCTTGCTGACATCTACATCTTTGCCTGTCGTGGTTTAAACCCAGCCATGCAGCTCGTTCACTCACTCCCCCCCCCGCCCCCCCCCCCCCCCCCCTTCTTGCCCTCCCCCTACTCCCGGAGGGATGGAGAGGAGAATTGGAAAAAATGCAACTCCCATGGGTTGAAATAAGAACAGTTTAATAACTAAGGTATAACACAAATCACTACTGCTACCACCAATAATAATAATGATACAGGAAATAACAAGAGAAGAGAATACAACACCTCAGCACCAGCTGACCGATAACTCACCCCCCCCCAGCCCGACCAAGCACTGACTGATACCTCGTCCAACCCCCAGTGCCCTAGCCCTTCCGGGTAACTCTCAGTTACATCCTGGGCATGACATGCTGTGGTATGGAATACCTCTTTGGTCAGTTTGGGTCAGGTGTCCTGGCTCTGCTTTCCTCACAGCTTCCCCTCCTCCCTGGCAGAGCATGAGGCTCACAAAGTCCTTGGCCAGACCAAACATTTGAGCAGTAACTAAAAACGTCAGTGTTATCAGCACCGTTCCCAGGCCAAAAGTCAAAAACACAGTGCTGCACCAGCTACCAAGAAGGAGAAAAAATGATTGCTACTGCTGAACCCAGGACATTGCCCTGTGGTGTTGCCTGGAGGTAAGGGAGCAGGGCTGGCCATCACACTGTATCTGGCCACTGTTGCTGGAGGGAGCAGATGGAGCATCACTGCCTGCTTTGGGCTGGTCTTAGAAAGTAGACAGTACCGAAAGTCAAGGGCCCACCTGGTCCCTTTGGTACCAAGGTGGAAGCAGCCACAACTCCAGTCAGCAAATCTCCCTCCTGCCACGCTTGTATGAAAGTTGGAGAAGGCTGGAAATATGCCCTCTGTGGGCAGGAGCCTGCATGGTGCCCGTCACCTGGTAAAGCCTCTCAGGACCTGAATCCACAGTTCAGACCTCTTTCTGCCACATAAATTCTGCCAAGCAATGGATATGTGCAGGCTCTCCACAACACTATCTCTCTGGCCCTAGCTCAGTGACACAACCCACCCCACCATGTACTGAGGGGTAAGCCAGCCTAACCTTGTGGGAGAAGCATTCTTACTAGAAAGATAAATGCTGCTTTACCCAGGACTGTATCTCAAAGAAGGTGTAAGATAACATGTAGGGCCACTGCTCAGGGACCTTCAGGAGAATGAAGGAGTTTATGTGGCCAAGTTGAGCTTGGCTGAAATCTCAGTGCTGGTTACTTTCCTCTCCCCTCCAGGTACCTGGCCATCTGCTATCCACTGCGCTATCAGGAGCTGTGAAACCCCCACAATGTAGTGGCTGCCATGGCTGTGATCTGGGGCCTCTCTGTGGTCTTTGCTGGGCCCTAAGTAAGCTACTATGACTTGATTGAGTGGGAGTCCAGCTACATCTGCATGCCTGGCTGGGAGAAGTGGAGACGCAAGGTCATGGACACCAGCACGTTTGCCTTTGGCTATGTCATCCACAGCATCTGTGGACAGCAGTGGAGGACACCTGGAGGACATATCAGAGTCCAAGAAGGCCAAGCGCAAAGTAACCAAGATGACCATCATTGTAACCATCTTTTTCTGTCTCTGCTGCTGCCATACCACCCAGTCATCCTCCAATACCACTATGGAGACTTCCGTTCAACCAGGCCACCTATGCCTTCCACCTGCTTTCCCACTGCATGGCCTATGCCAGTTCCTGCCTCAACCCCATTGTCTATGCCCTGGTCTCCTAGCACTTCCGCAAGGACTTCAAAAACATTTTCAGCTCTTTCTTGAGGAAAAAGCATCACAACAAGGTGCATGTGATGCACACAGCCTACACTGTGCCTGGATTTGAGGCAGGTTCCACTGGAGTGTCCCAGACACATGAGGAGAATAATGGGCATGAGCTGAACCCAGCTTCCATGGCAGTCCAATCCAGTTCTTTCAAGCCCCTTCATACTTCATAGTGGCCAAGCAACACACCATCTTCCAGCTTGGCTGCGTCACCAGCCTCAGGCCACCCTTTCCCACTGGGTGAGAAGAGGATGCTGGAAAGTCAAGCCAAAAACTGCTATACGCTGCTTCTGGCTGAATCCTTCCTCCCCATGCACCAATATGCTGCATGGAAGGGAAGAAACAGATCCAGACTTGCCCCTGATCCTCAAACTATCTGAACTCCAAGAAGTAAAGCTCCAGCTCCTCTGTTGACTCTCAAACTACTAGTCTTCATGGCCTCACCTCTCTGGACACACTGGTTAGTTGTCAAAGAGCCACTTCTGCCTCCTAGTGCCCCATCTGGTCAGACTGGCCCCCACAGCAGGAATGACAAGGCAGATGGGCAGTGCAGGCAGGACCAGGCAAGTAAAGGTGGTGTGGAAAGCGCCTGGCACAGCCCATTGGTGGTTGCAGTGATGGCTTTGCTGTTCTCCCTGTGACTTGGTCCTTCCCTGGGATGTAGAGTGGGCTGTGGGCTCTCTGCATGTTTGGGATGTTGCTGTTGTGCATACTAGAGAAATGTCTTTTTTAACCCAGAGCAAATAAATCTGTTTTCTTCATTCAGGCAGTAGTGAGGCCTGCAGTAGTCATCTGGAGTGGGGATGGGCTACCTCAATGGGGCCATATTCATAACTGGTGCAAATCACAATGCACCAGGAAAACCAGCACTGAGCAAAGTCTGCAGAGACAAACCCTGCCTGGTTTCCCAACTCCTTTCTCCACAGCCATGTTTACTGACACAGACAGGTCCCTGAGTAGGTCAGTGCACAGCTGACATTTTTCTCCACAGTTAGCAGTCAATTGTCAGTGCGTAAAAGCAGCTTAACCTGCCCACCATGCTTCTGAGGTTCCATGAGCAGGCAAGGAGCTAGTGGGCAGAAGCAGGGTTAAGTGGTTAGTTTGGTTATGGCTCCTCCTGCCTGCATAGCAGTCTTTGCACAGGGGATTGAGGAGGCTCACACTCCATAGTGGAGCAGATGCTTTTCAGGGCCTGCTGAGTCTCATCTCAGAATCTGAGCATGCTCTTAACGCCTTGGAGTTTCAGGAAGGAAAACTCTCATCTCCCTTATCAGGGCTGATTAGATGTGAGTGCCTGCTTCCATGGCTAAATAGCTATTTGGCCACGATCTCTAGCTATCTCAAGTTGGAAGGAACCCATAAGCATCATCAAGTCCAAATTCCTGCTCTTCGCAGGACTACCTAAAACTAAGCTATATGACTAAGAGCATCATCCAGATGCTCCTTGAACTCTTGACAGGCTTAGTGCCTTGACCACTTCCCTGGGAAGCCTGTTCCAGTGACCAACCACCCTCTCAGTGAAGAACCTTTTCCTAATGCCCAGCCTCACTCTATTTCCTCGTGTGCTTTTGCTGGTTACCAGAGAGAGGGGATCAGCACCTTCTGCCCCATGTACATGACCTCTGACACTTCAGGATTGCCGAATCCTGTGCAATTTAAGAGATGACTCTTAAAAAAGTGACCAGCATCCATGGACCACATGACCTTCAACAGCAGATTGCCAGGGCACCTGACCAACTTGCTCCTTCAGCTGCCCTTCGTATGCTCTCCCCATCCTCAGTGTTGAAGATTTGCTGGCAGTTTTCCACCTATTATTGATGATTTCAAACTCAGCTACTTCACAGTCACTGAGCCCACAAGTCTCTCTCTGCTTACAAACTACAAATCTAGGGGGAACCTTTCCTAGTTGACTCCCTTAGCACCTGCACCAAAAAGTTACCTTCAACATGCTTCAGAAATTTCCTGGACCTGTTTGTATGTGCTGTGTGATATTCCCCGTTGATGTCTGAGAAGTTAAAATCACCCATAAGACCAAAGCCAGTTGATTGAGAGATATCCCTTAGCTCCTTCTATAATAATTGGTATTGTCATCCTGACTGGGTGATCAATAGTAAACTCCCACAACAACACCCGTTTTATTTCCTTTCCCCTTCATCCTTACCCAGAGGCTCTCAACCAAAAGCCACCCCAGAAGTGTGAGAAGCCAAGAAATGCTCAATCTGGAAACATATTTTTCATTGTAGCTGATGGTAACTCGCAACAGCAAGCTTTATGAGGCCAAAATCTGTAAGCACAAGACAGTTCTACACAAGAGGCTAGGACCTATTCAGTCAAGATCAAGACTGGCAATAACTTGCCACTCCTTCCTTGTTGTGCTTAATATAGTCCAACCAATTCTCATTGCTCATTGAGGGACTACCTTACCTTTCCAATCTTGTAAATGGCCATTACCTTGAGGATTGGTGCCAGGAGTGGCTACCCATTATCCCGAGAATTGCTGCAGACATGGGTGTGCATGCACAGGTGTGTGTGCGCGCGTGTGCATGTGTGTGTGCAGACATACACATGCAGTTGAAGAGCTGGTTGCGAGACCAGGGAAACTGGTCCACCAGAAACATGTAATACATGACATGAAGAACAGAGGTATTCCCCCCAACTCATTATAAAATAGGTAAAGGTACTCACCAAGGAACATCGTCAGGGAGCCATTGCCATGAGGATGACTACAGGAGGACACCTCCGTGAGGACACTCTCTGCTGATGACTACTACAGATCCTGAGAGACACCCTCCATGAGACATCGCCAGGAGGGCAACTCCACAATACACACTCCATGGGCTACCTTCAAGGGGACTCCAGAAGGACGGCTCCACGAGGACACCCACCTCCAACGAACTCTTGGGAGACACTCTGCTCTGACACCAACTACGAACCCTGAAGGATTCCCACCACCAACAACGATGACAGTGGATCCCTGGGACACCGCTGGATCCGCAGTGGTGACTAGCTCACTCTCTCTCTGCACCCTGAATCCTTGCTTCATTTTCTGCCTTTTTCCCAATCTGTCCTATTGCTATCGCCTTTATTACAATAATTTCCCTTTTTCATAATAACTGTCTTTTTGTAATTTGTAATAAACAAACTGTCCAGTTACGGTACTTGCCCTCATTTGTGTCTTAATTTCACTCTTGGGATCACGAACTGAAACATTGTCGAGCACTGGGTTTTTTCTCCAATTGGACCCTGACATACTGAAATGAAATAAATTAAGTCAACTCTATTTGATCTGTTAATTTAATTAGAATTAATTAATTCAAATAAAAGTAAAGAAAATAATCCCACAATCAGCACAGTATTGCTGAGAGAAACATTCAGGTAACACATTAGGGTTCAACAGACAAATCTCAGCCACAACCATTCAATCCCACAGTAGCAGATGACTAAAACAAGTCCCTTGGCTCATGAAATACAGTTTAAATCACAGAATATGTTGTCCTGTATATTTGAGAGATCCAAAAGTACCATGACAGCCCCCATAGCAGATGGCATCTTGGGCTCCCAATGGATTCTGCAGTATGCAGCTTTCTGGAAGGCAGCTGTGGCACCCAGGAGCACTGGGAAGGACATTCCATTTGTCAAGTTATTTACGGATATCTTACATTTGTAAGTAACTTGACAGCTCTCGCTTCTTCCAGATGTGCAGGACAGAGAGCAATTATATTGAACTTCTTTGTTATCTGGATCTATTTTGCTGTACAAGACAGATTCATTGCCATGCAAAGTTAACAGTAATGCCTCAGGCTTTGCCCAGGCACAGAGACAGATGACCACAGCACCTGTTTCAACCCCCAGCCCCAGCAGTAAGCTCTGGCAGAGCCAGGAGTCACACCACCCTGAGGGGAGTGCTGGGAGCTCCTCTGATCCTAAGGGCTGGGTTTTGGTTGTCCTGCAGGCAGAGCAAGACATGTCACCAAGCAGCATTGTCACCAAGGGGTTTTTCTTGGGTAGGCTGGAGCCATCTGATTTTGCTCTGTGTTGTAATGGTTTGGGCAGACTAACATGCTGTGATTTTCTCATGTGAAAGTCTTCTCTCCCTGATATCAAATAGCTTGTAATCACCTTAATTGTACCTCTCTCCCCTAATGTCAGACAGAGACCAGAACTAATTCAAGAGTATTGTCATAGACACGGATCAGCACTTAGCTGGGTGGCTCATGCAGGGATCTGGTAGCACCCCTGGTAAGTGTAAAGGTAACACAGTCAAGGAGGATGTGAGTCCTGGAGATTTCGGCTGGGGTCAGTAAAGTCAAGAGCAAGCAGGCATCTCCACTGAGCATGCAACCTGTCTTCCACATGGGTTGGGCTGCATTCTCCCATGCCTGTTTCTCCATCCTCTCAATCTATCATGTAAATGCTGTGATTAGGGAGCCCTATAGCATGACCTAGCATTATAATAATAGTAATTGACTGTGCTTCATGAGACAAGGGGGGCACAAAATCACAAAATGGAATATATAAACCTTTAGAATCAGTTCTAGGTGATGTTAAGTTTGATGGCTTTGTAACAGTAGCAATGGAAAATTACTGAGTTGCATGATACACTATAAAAAAAGTAGAGTACAGCTACAGAACATACTGAGAATTCTTGTACAAGATAAATCATTATAGTTGACATAATTTTAAGAAAAACAGTCTAGAAGAACAGGACACAGGGATAAGGAGTATCTGGGAATGGCAGGTGTCCAGGATGGGCTACAGTTAAACCAACTGATAAGTAGGAGGACAGGCGGATTATTATGCCTCTGGTGCTAACAAACCAAATAAACTGGTATAAGCATCTACTGTGCATGCTTCAAAGGCTGCCAGAAGTGATGAAGATTGTTGGAAGAAGTAAACGACCCTCAGAGACCACCACCACAATTCTGTACACATGTGGGGTACTTTCTGGAAAATGATGTCATCCATACATAGCCTCATGAATACGTATGTACGCCCAGTGGCTATAAAAGGACGGCTTGTGTGGCAACTGGGGAGACACACGTTAGGAGGAGCTATCCCCCGTGTCTCCTGGCGCCGCAATAAAGAATACCTGCTTGTCAGATTGAAAACTTTGTTGGCAAGTTTGTTCCTGGAGTTTTCTCCGAATCATTCAGGACAGGAGTCACAATGCTTCCAAATGCCTTCAGAGCAATGCATATCAACCCAGGCAGAAATAAATGGTTCCATCTGCTCTTACATAAAGTCCATTGAACAAAAGCATTCAACTTTCAGACAGCAATTATTTTATTTGGATGTCCAGTCAACGGACAAAGAA